TATACCGACCCGAACGCCCACCACGCCCGCCCGCCCACAAATGGACGACCGTACCTGATGCTCGTATTGCTTCATTTGCGAAGTAAAATATGAAGCGAAGGGATTGATATGAAGCGGCCGCGGTGCTGCATGGATATATGAGTACATACGTGCAGCCGTATCTACCGTAGCGGTTATTGGCAAGATGCCTACGGGAAACTCGTCCGAAATTGCTTTTGAGTCATGAAGAACGAAGGCTTTTCTTCGCAGGTTTTTGACCGTTTCACTTCGTTTTTCGCCATTTTCCCACTATATAGCGCCCTGCTAGCATTTTAGGCCGAGTACCAAATTATCGTGCCAACTGCCTTCAAAGACGATGGAGGATAAAGACCGTGCCATCAATCGGTTTCTCCATGCATCTACGCGAACATCCCCATTCACTGCCTGTAGGTGGATTACGGCGGCATAATAGCTTGCGGTGGCTAGCCGAGTCAGTGTTTTCGTTGTCTCACACAAGTCCGCAGAAATTACACGATTTATGGGGGAGATTCTGAGTTAGAAGGGAGTTAGTGAAAAGTTCTCGGTATTGACTAGACCTTCCCTTCAAAGAACGACTAGCGGCGGATTTAAGGGGAACTATTAGACGATTATGACTACAAACTGCCACAATGTTCCTCTCAGACTTGACCTCTGTAAGGGTAAAGGAGACCTCTGTAAGGGTAGTACAGCAGCTTGATTACAAATATGAAAATAAGCCCATGGCGACGATATAATTTTGTGCTGTTTAGGTGGGCGCTTTTCGGCTTGCGCGGGGCATTTTGCTCTTTCACTAGTCTCTCTATTTAGTTTCTGTTCGTCTTACTTTGATGAGACTTGTCGACTCTTACCAAGTCCAAGAGAAGCTCCTGCGATTGCGTAGTTTCACTGGAATTCACAGGTTCCACAGGAGGCATCGGCAGTGATCGGTGGGAACCAGAGAAATCCCCACTCCCATCCCCCACCAAGCCAACTTCGCCTTCTCGTGTCACCACTTTTCAAGTAAATTCAGAGTACACTTTGCTCAGGAGTTATCCAAGCGTTCTGATCGCCGCTGCCGATAAGTTGGATCCTGAAGCACCTTCCTATCTAGGATCGAACAGGGGCCCTCAAACCTACTGCGACTTAGACAGTCTTTTAAATGCCCCTCTGTAAGCCCATTAGAGCTGATGCTGTTTCTCATCAGTCTTCCTTTACATGACTGGTCAGCGATTTGCAGTGGTCGCAAGAGTCTGAGGGAAATAATAAATTGAAATCTTAGCTTTCTCTCATCTTTTCTTTTTTAACTTTACCATAAATTGAGGAGGAAGTGGCGCCGCTTATTGCGCACGCGGTCCCGCGATCTAATTCCTGACTGGCTCCTAACCAGCCCAACCAGGAGTACGAGCCTTCCGACCCCGTAACTTGGTACTATAATGGGCGCTAACAGTCTGGGAGGAGGAGGGAGGAAGGGAGGTGCCCCCCCCCCCCTCCTCAAGGTTATTAGCTACCCAGACTCGTCTTGGAGGGTAGTAGTACCCACTTGTGCGGTCATCGCAAGTCAGGCTGAAGTGCCTTTCCGATTTCGAGTAGAAGTCGAGTGCATGGCGCATTCCAGAAAGGATCGATTAGCGTTGGGAGGGTTTTTTGAGTCTCATCATTACTTCTTTTCTTTTCATCTTATGAAACTGAGTCGCGTCCAATGACTAACGACAGGCCTGGATACAAGGAACACAGCACGTCTTGCAGCTGGAAAATTTTTTTACGAAATACGACCCTCCCTCTCAGAAGTTCCTTCTCTGGTACGACCCGTTACCCATTCCCCACGCTAACAACTATCTTTCCGAATTTTCCCAATTTCCTGCAGCTTTCGGGGGAATTTTTTTCCAAAATTCTCCAGCATTTCTCCACTTTTCGTAAAAAAATTGTTGTCGAGCTTGCTGGGGATTCCTAACATACGATGTGCCCTGAGAAGAAACTCGTCAGGAGCAAGCGGTTCTACTGGTATTAGGACACCAAGTGCCCTATTGAATTCCCAGGATGAGGCTGGAGTTTTTTTTTCTAATGAGTAGAGTCTATCATATAACTACATCCCACTAAACTGGAGCCGAGTAGCTGTAGAAGACCCCCTAGTAACCGGTTGCTATCGGCATGGATAAGTGTCTTGTTCTACGGCGTTTGCGTGCAGACTACCTGAGAATTGATTCAATAAGGATCGAAAACCGGTAATAGTTTCGAGTGAAGTTGCACCGATAGGGAAGTCCTTGGAAAAGAGTGTGAGAGAGAAAATGAAGCTAAGTGTGGGCTGCCTGTGCTTCCGCGGTGGCGCATTGATGGAAGCGCCTTTAAAATATGGTTTTTTCACAAAATCGCGCCCGCTGGAGAATTAGACTCACCTAGCGCCGGTCAGATATGGAAGATTTCTACATCTAGACGAGCAGGATTCCTCACCTGGACGAGCAGGACCCTCACCCAGAGGTTATCCACCAAACGCAAGCCTTAGGGGCTTGATGCTGCTAGGGGTGTGAACGGAAGGGGAATACATAGGACCTATTAAGCCCTCCAAAGACATTATGTTCGCAAATGCTCGGTATGGTATTGGTGTTAGATTTCACTACGGAACGAGTTGAATGTTTGCCAATCGCGGCCGCGGGCGCAATCGTCGTCGTTCACTGGAACGAAAAGAAGGACGTATTCACTAAATCTACAGCGGTGGATCATCCTCTCTCCATCGAGAACCCTTCCCAAAAAACCCCCGCCAGAATGAAAATGGCTGAAGAACGTCGACAACACACTAAGCCTTTCTACGAGTCGTTTTCCCCTCTGCTTTGGGACTGTCGTGTCGGGAAGTTCCAATGACTCAAGTCAAAATGCCAAACTGTCGTCCACACCCTCACAAACGTACTTTTAGAACGGTAGCGCGAGTTCCTCACCGTGCAATAGCCGCGCTGAGCTGTAAGCGCGCCGTGGTAATGACGGAAACGGGTTTGTAGAGCGTCGAGGTTTGTATTCAGATCGAATGAGCCACCCATTCATCTGCATGTCGTCTTTTTTTTATGAAACCCTTGGTATTGTTGTAATGATGTAAATTACATGAAGGGTACAACGGGTTGAAAAAAAAGCCTCTGAATGACTGACTCGATCGCATTGCACCTCATAAAACGCCTATCAAGAAAGGAAACAACTTGCGATCGGATTTTTTGGCCAGGAAGTTCCAGTTTGAGACCTCACTTGACTTCCCACTTGGTCGTCTCCAACCCTGATCTGCACGAAAGCACTCTGTTTTCTAACACCACCGAAAGTGAAAGTGGTCGCAGTTGATGTGCCCCCTCTACACACAGGTCTGCCTGCACCCATCAGCCATATCCAGGAAGCATTACCTGCCATCACACATCCAGTTGATAGTCGGGTAGTCGCCCTACGGTAGCGTTCCATGCCCACACACGATTCTCAGGGGGACGAATCATTTAACGAATCGATCGCTCAATCATCGGTTGCGTAACAATTCGAAGGTGTGGGAGAATTCGGGAGGGGTTTCTGCGCAGTGAAAAACCCTTCCAAAGTCCATTTTAGGGACCCATGAATCAAGGATCGTTGGGGAGACTATTGATTGGCTGGCTGAAAACACGCCGTTTGTGGTTGTCTCTGCTATTGTCTCGTCTCACACGCGAATCTGGTCCGTATCATAGCATAGCACTTCATCAACAACACCGGTTAATCACAAAAGCATGCTATAACAACTAGCGCCAACGAATCTGCCCAAGGAAATCTTCTGGGGCTGATTGTACCCCCAGGGAATCTGAATGACTTCGTTCATCCACTTTCAGTTTGTATATCGAGCCGTTTGTGGTGGGATGGCTGGTGCCTGGAGAGTTCGACCGGTTATTGCTAGAGCGATTCACCACCATCACCACCATCGCCACTACCATCATCGCGGCTTTGGTTGTGGCTTGTGGCTTATGGATGCTGCTGCTGCTAGCAGCTAGCTGTCACTACCAGCCCGAGACTTGGAACACATCGACGAACTCTAATCGCTCGCTCAATTACACAATTTCATCCGCGGAAGCACCCCCCTCTCCACACCCAGCAGTGCAGGTTGACACACACACTCACAGAAACTTGTCGTGATAGAAAACTGATAGATCGCACGAACGCAATCGTAAGCCGCGACTGAAATATCGTCCGAAAGTGCGATTACGCAATTTGCTTGTTACTAACGCTCTCTCCCACAGCTATCTACTACGATTTCTGATCGGGATCGCTTATGCGCAACGAGCTGCTTTCACGATGTTCCAGCCCCGTCTAATTGAAGGGGTGATCCCCCGCTTTGAATGCCCTTACGACTTGTTGCCAGCGGTAGCCATCAATGGCAGAACTAATTACTAGTATGAAACGCTGAACCCGTTATACGGGTTTTCTCATCCACAGTTATGGCCAGTGACCATCATATCTTAGCACAGCATCACACCAAAGGAGCGAAACAAGTCTGGTGTGGATGGATGTAAGTACATGACGACGACAAACCGAAACATCTCCCCATATCGCCCCCGCAGACTAATCTGCAGGCCGTCGGCTAGCCATTCGCCAGTTATGTCGACGTCAAAATTCGCCCGAACAAAGGGTAGCGCTAGATTTGGCAAATCCGGAGGTTTGAAAGCGAATAAATATTGGAAGACAGTGAGGGAACAAAAAGTGATAAATTATAAGGAAAAGAGAAGAAAAGATAGAGAGGAAGAAGAACTCACAATCTCCTCCCCATATTTGATATGGGATCTCATAGGAATTCCAATCATAAATCGGTCCAGCGATTACTTCACGTCGATGCCGATGCCATTTAGTCCGACTCACCGACTCGACCACAGTATAGTGTGGATATTTGTCAGATGCCATCGTCTCCATTCCAGGAATATTGAGCAAAGATTGATTATGGAATGTTTTGGATTGGACCACGACAAGCGTGAATCCAATGACTGCCAATAGAAAGTCGAGCATTCTAGTCTGAGTCGGATTCTAAGCAAAAAAGCAATGTTCTCGACGACGACGGCGACGACGACTGCAACGACGATGACGGCGACGATGGCAGTGGCAGCGGTGAATCGGCGAAAACTGGGGAGGAGTTTGACACCTGCCCGTGGCCTTTGCGCTGCTGCTGCGTCGGCGGGTACGTTTAGCGCTAGCTGGCGGGGCAGAAGATGTCCCCCGCCCACACCGGTCCAAGTAGGCGGGCGGACCTACTACACAGCAAAAGCTCAACTAAATCAAAGAAAGGCAATGTAATAGATTGGGAATGTGATTGAGCGAATCACGTGCTGGTTTGAATGGAACTTCGGAAAAGAACCCCGGCATAATGTATTTTAGAGCCTAATAGGCTGAAAAAACAGTGGGCCATATTCCTCCTATTTTCAGAAAAGCTCTCTACAGGGCACATGCCGTTGGGGAGGAACTCTCCAAAATACAACCCCACTCCCATCTTCCTCCTATCCTTTCCCCATCCTTCCTACCACTTCTGCGCAAAAAGTCTCCATTTGTTATTCGAAAAACTGCCGTCGAGCGGAAAAAGGGAGCATAGCGTGCACGAAACGGGAAAAACCAAGAAAAGTCTCACCGAAAAAGTTCTCCTCGAAAGCAAATACGACCTCCTGCTGGGAATCCCCAACGTGGATCGTGCCGTCTTGAATCAGAAGTGTGCAAATCTGCAAATCTCATCCCTTGCAGACGGTTTGCTGTGCGCCCGGCTCTTTTTCCCCGAGATTTTAGTAAAATAGTCTCCCGCACCTGCACTGGCCAAAGGGAAAAAAGGCGTGACGATCGAGGTGAAACCGCTACACTTGAGCAGATGTGAATTCCACCAGCGCAAGGGGGAAAGAGATGAAAGTGACCTGAAATGCGTTTATTGCTCACCAAGACCTTCCAAAGAACTCGAGTGCTGACGTCGCAAGGTTTATCATCGTTTAGCCCCAAAAAAGGAGCAGCCGGAACATTGGTTGACCTTGTAGCGGCTAAAAATGTCATCCTCTGCACGTCCCGCTTCAGCAAGGCATCCTGCGAAGGTGAACAGAGGTTTCATGGTTCTGGGTGGGCTGCTCGGTGGGAATGGGCTCCAGGAGCAGCAATCTATACCTTTCGCTTGAGAACCCCTACCTAGGGTACAGAGGGGCCGAATCTTCCATTTGTCAGCTGTTGGGCTTGAACTCTTCATGTGAAGCCAACCTATTTTTCAGGCATCTGCTACTCATCGCAAAGTTTCTGTACCCACAAAATTGCCATGGCAGTTGAAGAGAGCGTGGCGTATGCCGAGAAACTGATCAATATCGGGCAGTTTATGCCTGCAGAAGATGAACCAATGAACTATCCTAGTATTGCGATAGAAGCTTTCGACATTACTTATCCTTTATGAACCAACTCTTTGAAATTTAGACCGCATTTTCAGCGAAATCGTTACGTGGAGAAATATGTCCTCATGGGTAGTTTCAGCCCGTGAACATGAATCAGCTGAAAGCTGGGGCCTGCTTCACAGACGCCGGCGCCACAGGCCTGTTTTGGCGCCAACGCATGTTGCGCGTACGCCACGGGTTCTTGCGTCATGTGGGTAAGACACTCGTACCGAAAGGTTCAAACCACCCTGTCGTCAACAGTTTTTACCGATTTTCTTAGCATTTTAGATTTTACCGACTTAAGGTGTTCTAGGTCCCACCTCTGTGGCGTGCGTACTAGGCGTTTCCGTTTGAAAGGAATATGATATTCGTGTTCAGGAGTCAAAGTGACTCAGTAGACCAACTTCTAGCGAAATCTGCTCCAGCTCAGCGGACTGTTTTTTTTTCTTTTTCAATTATTGAGTTAAGCATTCTAGTGATGGCGCAGCGACAGAAACAGACATGCTTTCGCACTTACACGGTAATAACTTGAAAGTGGATTCAACGGTGCGTCCGGATTACCTGGGCCATAGAGCTTGACTCACTGGTGCGTTCCTCCTTTTAGCCGCCTTAGAGGGAGGGTCTAGCAATGGGGAAAATGTACATTTCCAGGTATTACGTCATATGATCACTGTTTGATGTGCCTTCGAAGCTGTCTTACTGTATAGGCGACCTGTTGAGAGAACAGCCAGTGCCGAGCTTATTCGCTGCATCTGTCGCGGAACTTGAGCCATGAGAAAAGGGGCTGTGTTTTTAGGAGAGCTGTTGGCCAGCAATGTCAGAAGTCTAGTGTCTACTTAGCAGTGCTTGGTTAGAAGCCTTGGACGGGGAAAGGGAGGTGAAATTCGTTATGTGATCCTGCGGAGCGTCAATACTGTCATGGTACGCTACTTCTGAGTATGTTTGTAGGACCACCCTGAAACGTCTCACTCGCGGTTCCGAAAAAGTCTAAAACGCAACATGCCCACGAACATTTGGGTGAATACCTTCTAGGGAACGCCCATACTATAACATTTTCTTCAATGTTTCCTTGTTACCCTCGAGACATCGACTAGTTTTTGATAACATGAAATCCGAATCGTTGAAGAATTTGGCATGGCTTGCCCTACTTGCTGCTGGCC